TATCCGTGAACTATTATTAAAAATCGCGAACCAATAGAAAAATTCACATACAGATTTGCAGAAATATATGTAATACATATTTTAATGCAACCTGAATATGTCAAGTTTTCATACTTCAATCTGAAGGCCATTTTATGTCTCTAAGAGAATTGGCATAAAATTTTCTTTTAAACTACTCTCTCAAATACATCTCTAGTATAAAATTCATGAGAATTAAAGAAACTCATTTAGAATCAACTATAAATTAATAGCACGTAAATCAAATATTTAGTTAACTGCACTAATTTCATATCATTGTTTTAATTAATTTGTTAACAATGCTTAACAATCCTTTACTTTTTAAACTTTTATTTGTTGTATATATAGATTTAAATATTTTTTAATATATTCAACATGTAGTTCTATCTTTTTTAGAAAGATTTTTAGGGGTTTTACTAGAGTTTATGAGCAATATTAATATCTATTTACTTTTTTTTATCGCTATCGATATATAATAAAATCCCTGACAAAATATTAAAAAAAAAAAATAAACACACGCCAAATACTCGATATCGACAACAATATTAATATGATGTTACAAAATATATTAATATATACTCTCTCTTTTCCAATATCTTTATGTAATATACTTCTATTTATACGTTATTTAATATATATTTAATATGTATATAATTTTAATTACAGCTGTTTAACGGCTAAAAATTTATACTTATCATTATCAACATTATACAAGTAAAGTATTGTTAAATTTTCTATTACTGTATTAATTCCTAAGATATTCTAATCGAAATTATGATCGATAGAAAAATACTGGAATAAATACTAAACCTAGTCACAGTCGGCCTATTATTACTTTTATGCTTTCTCTTTTTGTATACAAAATCTTTCCAAATTTAAAGATTGCTATAAAAATTTACGGTTTCTAATAACGTTATAATCCAATATTGCTATAGGCCAACTATTGCTATAGTCAAAAGCTTTAACTTTTTTCTCGCAAATTCTCGTTAGATTGAGAACTATCGAAATCAACAAATACGATCTCGGCGATTTCGGCTTGATATATCGCAAGTCGCAACCGCCTGCTCAGCCGCGGTCAGTATCGCCCGAAGGAACGAGTTGTCCCTCCGGGCAGGGAGAGAAAGGCCCACCCCCGTCACTCGCTTCTCTGGCTTACAAGCGGAGAAAACCCGTGAGGGTTGCGAACGCTATTCAACCGTAACAAAAGGCAATCACCATAGAAGTGGTGGCACTGAAACTAGCAGCAGTCATAAGTTATCGAAATCACGTCGATAATTCGCGGAGATTTTCGCGAAATAAACTCTATTGGTGCGCTGGGAAGTAAATGAAAAGTGCGCGAAGTGTGATACAAATTGAATTAATTATAATGTAACAATAGCAGCTGAATTTAAAATTTTTGGGGGTTAAATGAGTTGAAATCTTAGTTATATCTGTCATATTATCATTGTGAATCTAATCGGTGCTAATAAATAAATGATAACAAAGTTTGATTATTTCACTATTTTTTTATATAAAATACGTTTATGGTATTATATATAATTAATAATAATTTTCTATTTTTCTTTAATTCGTGCATTCTATTTATTAATCCTTTCTAAAGTGATGTTTGCCCACAGAGATGCGTTTATTCGAGTTTACTTGAAACAAGAATTGCCCCATTTTTGCATATACACGGTGCTCACTCAATTGTTTATCAAACATTGCACCAACTACGATAGCGCAACAATCAGTTGAGAATTTCTCGATATAATCCCGATGTGCCAGAAAAAGCGATATGGGTTGTTTGAAATTTTTACGCAAATCCGTCAAATCCGCACCAATGTAAAATTTCGAACAAACGAAAGATTCGCTAATGTAGGTATTGACGATACATTTACGCCACATATATAGATAAGCACGTACAAAAACGGATACGTCCGTCAATAAAATTATTTTAAAAAATGCACCAAATGTATCAGCAATTTTATGCGAAGGGAAGAGGATATACACAATCATCGTCAATTTCTGCATGTTCGTTCACGTTCAATTGAATGCTCGAGTATATCGAGTGTCATTGATATTCGTTCGGAAATGCACGAAACTACTCGGGAAGCCTTAGAACTAATTGTCGTTTGTTCCCATACAGATTTTTAAGAGACGTTTTGTAATATTTTATATTGTTCGTGTAATAATAATGTAAATATAATGAGAATATTGTTTCATGTTTAATGTGCAATTTTATACAATGTAACTATATTACATCTAAAATAATAACTGATATGCTTTATCGAATTTTCTAAAATTGATTACATTAAATGCATTTCTTCAATTTTAAGTGAATATTATTTTAAGTGAATAATTTGATCAATAATACTGTTGACTTTACGTATAAAAGTAATTTAAAAATATAATCTATTCACATATTGTATACCACACATATACAATAAATATAATTCAAATAATAAATTTTGTTCAATTTCTATCTAATAATTATATTCTCTTACATAGAATATCTTAAAAAGCAGATTGATAAAAGCATTGCAGTATCAACGGATAAGTAAACGAGACCTTGTTAGATAAATAAACTTTAATTAAACATACGATAAAAATGTGTTACAATATTTTTAAAACACAATTATCACATGCATTAATATTATCGCTTAGATAGCCATCAATAATCATTCACAAAAAATCCAACAACTCCTGATCTTAGCTTTTGAAACAACTTGTATATCGATGTAATCTAAACGCTTGGTTAAAATTTTCACAAATCCGCGAACTTCCGCCCTTTCCGCACGAAATCTCCGCACGAAGACGGCATGCCGTCATTATCCGAACGCGAAATATTGCAACGCGCTGAGGGAAAACAGCGAGAGGGTGGCCCGCTGCATCGATCGAGGTTAATATCAGGGGGGGGGGAGGGAGAAAGAGAAGAGTGAGGTAGCTTACAAATTGCACTCTCAATTTTCGTGAGGAAGCGCCGCGCCGGCTGGCCGGCGTTGCGAGCTGCAAAGCAGGTTTTATCGAGTTAAAGCGGAAACGAAGAAGGAAACCCGAAAGGAAAAGAAGAAGACCGGTAAGAGAGAGAAGCGCAGGGGGCAGGTCGATGAGTGGACCATTAAATCGCAGCACCAGCAATTACATCGATCTAGCCCGTGTCTGATGATGTTGATTTAAGTTCCAGAAGGGGCGCCGAGTGGGTTTCGAGTCGTTTTCGGATTTCGCGAAGGGAAATTAAGCGCGAAGAATCACTAAGATACGTGAAGTGAAACGGGCATATCAAAAGAAACAAAACTTTCTCGATTTTAGCGTAACGTAGTAAAAGAATTGAAAATTCCGTTTAAAATTTTTTCACTTAATTTATATCTATACTTCATAGATCGTTTTAAAATAATAACTTAAAAATTTTTTAGCTTTAATAGCATAAAAAACGGTTGGTAATAATATAAACGATTTATATTTTATATTATTTCTTTACGTAGAAAAAATTTTATCTAAAAGGGATTTAATGACACAAACATCGAGCGGAATAAATTTGAATTGAAATTAATGTATATATTCACGCGATGGGTGATGAAACAGGAGAGGAGCTACTGTAGATAGTTGTAGGAATACATTTATGTAGATATAGTTGTTAAAAAGGACAAGATTAATTAGAATCAATGTCTTATTATATCGTGTTGCACTAAGTTGCGGTGTGTCGCTAACGATAAGTATTAAATGGGTTCGCGATTACAGTGTTACATATAATGTTACGTCACAGTTGCCCGACGATTTTTCATCGCGTTCGCATAATTAAACTTTCAATGCGACGCGATAGCGATTGCGTTTTTGCAATGGACACTTCGCGTCGGCAAAAAGATCGTTAGCAGATTCCGGAAGTGCTATATCGATAGTTTATCGATTCTAATTTACCGGAAAGTCGTTATCCAACAAAACCCGAGTATCTGGGATTTATTTAATAATTATGAAGAAACTTATCAATTTGCGCTATTTATGCTAAATCGTAATAGAATTAATGTTTAAATTCGTAAAAATTAATTTATTATTATTATTTAGTTTATATTGAATTTTCAATTTATTTTTTATCATTAGTTTTAAAGTAAAAAATATTTAAAAGGTACGAGGAAGAGAGAGAATATTATAATAAAAGATAAATAATTGACCTAGCTAGACACATAAAGAATAAAAATGGAACCGGTATAAAAATGACTGCTTTGAGAAAGAGCAGAATAAGATTCGTAGAATAGTTTCTTGACGGCATCGTGCGCTAAACTTTACGCCATCGTGGAACCTAAAGGATGTCATCGTATAATTAGACAAGTTAATTACAGCGAAGTACGTAATAAGCACTGACTTTAAATTAACCCACGACAACCTATACTTGGCATAAGTCGAACAAAATTCATGTTCGAAGTACGTTTTTCCGTTTTGTACCGTACTTGAGAATACTGATTACATCTTTTCCCTATAATATAATATTATATTATAATGACAATAATATTATATGACTCGTTAATTATTTTTGATATAAATTAAAATATTAGGTTAAAATATTTTATCAATTAAAATTTGTGCTGAATACTCATAGTAAGTGTCAAGAATAAAATGCGTAAAATAACGATTCCAATACTAACAATTAAATGTTCACAGTGCAACTGAAAAGTAAAAGATCGTATATTAATTAAAATATCCTAAATATTGGCAATAAAATTGAAACAAAAAATATACAATAATAATTACAAGAAGAGTAATTAAACGCGCGCGGCGGATCTGAAGGATAAATAAAATTCCGGACCTCCCGTTCCATATCCTGCACGCACTTTGACGCAGTAAGAACTCGTGAAAGCGTCCATTACTCAGATATTAAACATATTCTTGGCACTTACCCGCTTCTTGCTTATGCACAAGCTGAATTTCGAGCTAATTTTACCTTGAAGTCGCTCGTTTTCGCGAATAGTTTCGATTAATTGCGCCGCTCATTGCCAACATTGCTCACTTACCGTAATCTGAAACAAAAAGTTAAATCAAATATATTAAATATATAATAAACAAATAAATAAATATATATATGTATACATTGATATATAATATACATGAATATACACACATACACACACAAAGTTAACTATAAAAATATTAATTTTAATTATTTTTTAAAGTGATATTGCTTTACTTATACATTAGTAGATCTTATATTTTCTACTATAATTTTTTAATAAAATAAATTTAAACATTTTGTATATTATTTCAACTTGTTATAATATGATAAATTTAAACAAAAAAAAAATTATTTTAACTTTACTGAAAAGTTTGTAGTTAGCCAGAAACAATATTGACAAAGAAAGTTCAGTATCGTACCAATCCAAAAAAATTTTAAATGTTGCATAAATGTAACTCATTGTCAGAAATATAATTATCTCATTAAGGTTGAAAAAATGATCTTACATGATAATACAGCGCTACAATGGCAAAAATATAATTTTAACTAAATAAATCGTTATCTTCGAAATATACAAAAATATTTAAAAAATAATAAAATAAAATTGATTGTTATTTATATAGATAAAAAAAAAAAGAAAAAAATGCGGTAGGTAGAGTTTGAGATGATAGATTTTACAAGCGCACGCGAACACACACACACACACACACAGATAAAGCATTCACTTCAAAATTAAATAAGCGTAAAACAAATTTTTTTATCTCTTGTAATTTTTTTATAGATTATAATGCCATTCATGCGAATAATTCGATTATTCTGCTAACTTCTATCGATTATCCTGTACATAGGATGCACTATGCAGTATTAAAAAAATAAACGCGTTGCGCGGTAGGCACTTATATCACACGAGTGCACTTTCATCGCGATGCACTTGGCGTATCGATGCCATTATGGAGTGAGTTTTTACGCGGCTTTACAGCGCGTTTTTAGTGAGAGATCGGAGGGTTGTCTTGCATTACATGTTCATAAGTCGGCAGTATATGGCGTCAGATAAAATAAAGTGCGGTGCACTTTAGTCGATGAAGACGAAACGCGAAAAACTCATAGTGATGTAACATTGCTATATACATTGACGATCGGCATCTTTCGATATGATACTCGTTTTAAATAAATGCTTAAATTACATACACAACATCACATCACTTAGATAATTTCAATTAGTGTTATATATAGTTGTTTAATGCTTTATTTTTGCTATGTAAATTAATTTTATTAAAGTTTTTTATCAAAAATATCACCATTTCATAAATTATATTTTAAGGTAAAAGGCAAGCGTTTTTATTTTCCATGCATTTTATTCTTTGTTATATCTGCAGTTCTCTTACAACGTATTGTTGTCCCGTTACAAAGATGTTAAAAATGTAATAAAATCTGTAAATATGTATGTGTGTAACTATTTTAATTAAAAATGTAATAAAATTATAATAAAATAGTATACGATAAATGCAACATCACATAATCATAGAAGTCATGCTCAAATCTATAAAATATACAATCTATCGAGGATAAACGCGCGTGCTTGCTTTACGATTATAAAATATCTTGTGTAAGAAATAACTCCCGCAAAACTAGAAAATACGTGTATAAAAAAATTAAATTATTAAAGAAACTAATGTGTATATATAATTTGCACACTATAATTTACTGAAAATTACAACACACATAAAATTATTATTCTCGTTCCAAAATTATTCTTGTTTGCGACGTTGAAATTCAAAAAGAAAGATCAAAATATTATAAATCTTTTTTAATAGCTCGACTTTTTATGTGAAATAATCTAATACTTAATTACAATAAAAAAGCTCTGATAATAATTATAACGTAAAGAAAACGGGCTAGTTAAAAGCCTGGCGCGGTAAATAATACGTAAATTTCTTGATAATTATGATTTTATTCGAATAAACGTTTCGGTCTAATATTTTGAATCATCTTCAGCATTGAACTGCAGCGTATGTGCCATACCTCGTGATGAATTTCTTGCTGCAGTTTAATGCTGAAGATGATCCGAAATATTGAACCGAAACGTTCATTCGAATAAAATTATAATTATCAAGAAATTTGCGCATTGCTTACCGCGCGAGGTTCTTATTTAGCCCGTTTTACGTTATATGAAATAGTCTAGAAACACATTTTCTACAAAAGGCAAATTATATCGCCCAATTCCATTTTATGTACTAGATATTGTGATGGAGCAAAACGAGAGTTTAGTTTGAGTTGCGTTAGTCAATTCTCGCTTCGACAAGCAGCTTCATATTTGTAAACGCGTTGATATTTTCGATCGTCATAAAGCAAGCGTAATACCGTGTGGAATTGCAAAGTGAGAGGAAAAAGGAACGAGAGAAAGAGATTTGTGATTTTGATAAAAAGATTACGCGTCCATTTTAATCGAACCGCGAGATTGCAATCGCGGGCGCAACGAGCTATCGAGTTTTCCGCAAAATATTAAATGCAATGCGTATGCAATCGCATCGACGATTCATGTTACAATTGCATTTATTTTTATGGCAGCGCAGGAACATCTCAGATCGTAAACAGTTTTGATTATTCTGGTGAAATAAAAGAGAAAAATTATTAAATGATACAAAAAATGCTTTGACGGAAAATATCTTGTTGTTTATTTTACCCGCTTTTATCCAAATTTTGTACGTATTCTTTCTTTTTTATTTTAATGTAATAAATTTACTTCTTTTCTATTACTGATGATAAAATAGATTTCTTCAATTTCAGGTATTTGCAATTCAGACGCGGGCGTCTTAGATCGCGTTTGGATAAGACGCATGCAAAAAGCAGTATCTATTTGCGTCAGAACGCTCTCGACAGACCGGAAGGCAAGCCTCGAGCAATCCTTCCACCTACATTTAGGAGGAGAGATGGTTCTTCTTCACGCGCGTTTACAAGGTGGATCGTATGCAAATCTCTAGCGGCTTAATTACGCGACACGCCTACTATATGAGCTCTCGGATTGCACGTAACGCGAACCGGAAGCCAATATATTTAACTGACGATAAGAAGAAACCCTTATTCGTACATCACTGCTCGCTCTTTCACAAATGCTTAGATGCCGATCGAAGAGATCGAGTGATTGGGGAATCAAATCATCAAAAAATCTTATAAATTGCAGCAATAAAATCATTATTTTTATTTTAATAATTTATGTTTATTGTTAGAGTATATTATGTATATTGTTTTCGTTTATATACATAGATATTTTTAACTTGCTGCATTTTATAAATTATTTTTCCATCATTAAATAATTAATTTAGAAATACATACAATTATATTGTTAACATGTAATAATATTAACAAGATTTATTAAAAACTAAATTTTTGCTCTATTAGCTCTTTTCTACGAGTCGATCAATATATCACGCTGTCACGTAATGAACGTTTCTAAAGCATCACATGCGAATCTTACATTTATCTTCCTCCTTTCAGTCGACTAATCCTCGACGAGTGGCTCACTCATTTAAAGAGAATAGCGTTTAGATTTCCATGGCGCAACAATATTTGTATTTTCATGACATAACGCCAAAATGTAGGAGAAAAGTTGACAGTAAAACAGAATGACAAATCACGCCCGGATATTCGTTTTTAATCCTTCTGCACGCGATAAACTGTCGGAAAAACATGGCAAAACTAGGATATACAGCAAAGTTTAAATGTAATCTACATATGTTTTCCAATACAACCCTTACAATACAATAATAATTATTACGAAATATAAATTATTACAACACAAAATAATTATAATTTGAAGAATCAAATGATCGCTATGCAAGGCGACATTAATTTAAATCGTAAAATGTAAATGAAACAAACTTCTGTTTATCTCTATATATATTTTTATATATATTATTTTTAAACATATGCATAATTGCATGTGATTTATCTGCGATTAATAAAATATTTTCTTTGAATAATAATGTGCAATATAAAAATATATAAAATATATGACCAATATTAATTATTTTAAAAAAGAAAAAGTTTTTTTTTAATATAGAAATAATGTATATATTGCAGGTTTTCATAAAAACAATCCTTTCATAAAAAGGCTTACAATTAGCCGCTTGAATCTTTGTGTACCGACGTTTCATAGAAAGTCTAGGCTTTCTGAAAAAGCCCGACACATATACATGGTTTTTTATTTAAGTTTGTCTTTTTTTTATTTTGATCATTTTTTATATTTGTTGAAATTGTGAGAAAGAGAGAGATAATTTTTTAGTACTATTTATAGCAAAGTTGTTATAATCAATAAATGTTCCCCTTCAACTTATATTTGATTCTATATTTTATAACTTTTGCTTTTAAATTAATGTTTTTTAAAATCATTTTTTTCAAATTATTAGAAGTATTTAGATGGATTTATAAAGATAGTTTATCTTACATAACTTAATATAGTTAAAATAGTTTATTTTATATAACTTAATATACATTTATATGTGTGTGCACGCGCATCTGTTTAAATATATCAAAACCTGGCAAAAATTATTCTCTCACATAAAAAGATTAATATCTTATTAACTCTATAATAATGTATGATAAAATAATAAAATCAAATTTCTTTTTTTACATGTGCGTGAAAACGTCCAAAAGATAATCGTCGTCCAATAGAAAAACGTATAAAAGATACTTCTGATGCGTAGTAAGCTTTGCCAGTAAGAGACTTTATTCTAAGTAAATTGGTTAATTTGACATTTTGCAGACGTTAAATCTAGCACTATAACGTGGCATTGCAATTTAATTATCAAAGTTATAACGATTATAAAAATTAACTCCTTTTTATTTTATCCAAAAACGATTTTAAAACTAAAGAGTTTCTTTTTCTCTATAAATAAAAAAAAAATATAAAATTTTTTTCTCTGACAAGATATCCCAGCATGTGCAGACAATATCTTAAGAATATCATTTTGAACAAATCTTTGAAATTGGAACAAATCATTTAAAATTAATCTTTTTTGACAAAAATATATTGAAGAAAGAAAAAAAATCATCCTTTCTCGCAACTTT